TGCACACAAATTCCACGTATATACATAGTCAGACTCTTAATATAACTAAAAATGCCATTCGTGTCTCTTACATGTATAAAATAACTATAAACAATATAATAAATAACTACTAACAATTCTGAGCATATACACTCAAAAGAAACTCAATCCCTTAGTCAGCCCCTTCTACTATCGACTGATAAAATCATTTAATTTTTAAAATCTGGAAAGGCCCAACAGCGAGCAGAAATATATTCTTCAAGCAGTTTATCTTTTTATCCAAAATGCCAAAACCATATTTTATTTTTACATGTAATAACCGGCTGCGATACTACATCAGCACTGTTCAGAAGGGGTAAAACATGAGTGCTGAAATTACTTGAAAAAAGGAGTTAACTGATTGCGCTAAAGTATTTGAAGAAATTGACGCGTCTCCTCAAACGATAATCACAAAAGGAATTCGCTTTCTCCTTACGGTTTATGGAGCTCCAAAAAAATTAGTTGTTTCGACAAGTATAGATATTTAACTTAAAAAAAAAGAAACAAGAAACAAGTACAACTGGCTTGTCTTCCTCCAACATGGCTTCTGCTCATCAACATTTGTATCGAGTAGGTATACTATCAAGTTCAGACATGGCTAGGCTATCAACTGAACCCCGAAGACTGGGGTTGGAAATTAACAGATAATACTTTGGAACCGATTCAAACTACACTCCCACCTGCTCCGAAAAAACTCCTAAACACTATTTTTTGCAATTGCAAAAAAGGTTGTTGTACTAAGTGTGGCTGTAGAAGAGTAGGGTTGTTGTGTTCACCAGCGTGCACTAATTGCCAAGGTCACTCTTGCTCGAATGTTCAATGGAATCCAACAGACGAAGTTTCATGTGATATCGATGAAGAGACAACTGATTCATCTTCAGTTGAACAATTTATGAACATCCAGCAAGAAGAAGAGGAAGAAGAAGAAGAAATTGAAGAAGACATGACTGTTGAAGTCGAATTTGAAGAGTATGAATCAGATTAAAATGTTAACAGAAATTAGAACCATAGTTTAAATCAATCAACTATATCAATATCAAAATTAATAATCATCATGAAGTAATTGCAGTATTTTCCCATAAAACTCCGTCATAACGATCGTAGGCCTACTGGGGAAACCACGTTAAAAAAAAAACGCGCCAAGTACACTACATCACAGGTGGTGTGGAAATGTGTGCATATCATGTAGGAGTAGATTGTAACTCCTTCAACTTTTAGACCGGCGATATCTTAGGAATGGTCATTCTTAGGGAAAAAAGTATGAGCACCATTTTTGTAAATAATTTTAAGCTCTATATTTTTGTCTCAACTATATTTTTGATAAAACTTACCGTTTTCGAGAAAAATCGAAAAAACAAAAAAAAGACGTTTGACCTTGAATAACTTTTTTAGCACACATGGGATTTATGGGGACTTTTGACAATTTATTTCTACTGGTGTACCCAAGGTCTGTACCAAAATTCAGCTCTGTCGGAGTTTTTGTTATTTGATCACTATTTTTATGTCTATTTTGACCGGACTAACATTTTTGGAATTATATTTTTAATATAACAGGAGTAGTTCTTATTTTCTCAGAAATTTAATTTTTCACGTCAGGACACCACACTAAATATGTTTACATTATTTGTGATACAGGGACTTTAGTGCCATGCAGGATTCATGAAGTCGTAGTTAGATCTATTGCTACGGAGATTCTACGACAACTGGTCGCAAACAATTGATCGCGCGACAATTGATCGCAAGCAACTCGTCGCAGCACAATTGGTCGCACGCGACAATTGATCGCAGCGACAATTGATCGCACGTAAATTGATCGCAGCGACAATAGATCGTACGTAAATTTATCGCAGCGTCAATTGATCGCAAGGTAAAATTCATCGGGAAGTATTTTCTTTTATTAAAACTAAATATTTTGTATTCTGAATTTTAAGTTGCAATAAATTTAGCAATCAGGTAAGGTGTAAATATCGAATTAAAAACAATTTGAATATAGATAAGTGACGAAGTTTATAGTTGCACTTTAAAAGTTAAAAATACGAGCGTAAACACCTTTTTACATAAGATTTTTTATTAATAAATTGTCATTTTGGTTATTTTTTTTAAGAGATTGTTACTATTTATCTCGTTGCTTATTTTACCTATTATATAATAGGAACTAGCTTCATTAGTACTTTTTAATTATTATTATGTAACTAGTATTGTACTGAAGAAAAATTCAGATGTACCATATGTGGGTGTAAAAAATACATATACAGGGTTAGTCACGAGAAAATTATTTTTGAAAATTATTTTTACGCAACCCAAAATACGAATACCCTGTACCACTTCATACTAACTGAATTTAAAATGAAATGCTTAATTCATGATTGCTTTGAGTTTGGCAATGTCATTTTGACAATTCTGGAAAAGGAGGTTACGCGAGTGTCCATGGTGGTACCGCAGCCAATTGGAGATCTCCGCTGGCGCCGCTGATAAGTTTGTCAGGGCTTGCTTCGAGTGCCTCTTGATCTTTTGCAACCGATTAATGACGAGAAAATTATTTCTAAAAATTCATTTTACGATAGATATTTCTGTGACGTGTAAAACAGATCTCAGATCTAAAAAAAAGGAAGAAATAATTGGTTCGCATTTTTCCATGATCTCCTACTACGGGCTGCTACCTGATTTTATTCTTCTCCGCACTTTGCATCCTAGAAAAATTTACAACATGGGTTAGAGAAGCCCACCTACATCCGGCAGATTAGGCAAATAATTCTGAATGAATAGTCGGCCTTCCGAGTGAAATGCCCCTCAATAAACTTTTCAAACTTCCCAAGCTAAAAATTAGTTACGCCATTGCGAATAACCACTACTCAGTGGCGTCGTCATCCTGGTTGTTTCTACTTTTTAACGGTATTCACTGTTTGTATTACTTGTTACTCGTGATGTATTGATTGATTTAAATATTTTAAATAATATTAATGAATAGATAATATAAATCTGTTATCTGCGTTGTTTTATTCAATAATTTTTATTCCATGAGCCGCTTCAAAAAAAAAAAAAACTGTACGTCACTGTCATCGGCAGTATTATCTGGGTAATGAGGGGTACTGTTTATGACACTTTACCGGTTTGGCTCGAAATCATCATTTTAAGTCTGGCACTTTCTCCGTATGAGTATATTCTTTGCTCCATGGTCAAAACTAATCTTTTTACGATCTTGTTTACACAAATGGCGTAAAAGTGGAGATTGGTATGTAAGTACTTAGCAAAGGGAACGAGATAAATTATTCATTCTTTCGTATCTACAAGCGCCTTATTAACAGTGTGACCGTTCAAAAAAGTTCTGAATGAAAAAACATCTTTCGTTTTATCATGGACTAAAGATAATCCAGAGCTAATTTGTAGTGAGCAAAAAATTGTCTGCAAAGAATGCAATAAACTCCAAGATTAATTGTTAATATATAAATTCAAATTTCTTTGCACCAAATTTAGTAAAAAATATATATATTTAAATTTTTAAACTATCAAACGTAATGAAAATAATACTTTTTCATTTAAAACTGTAACGAGAGTTTTTTTCACGATTTATCTATAACTTTTTAATTTGACAGATGTAATAATTTTAAAACCATTTTTTATTAAAGAAAAATGACGTCTAATACGTTTTGAAAGCTATTTTTTTCACTCGTTTAATTGACAAACTTTAAACTTGTGAGAAGAAAAGCTTGAATCACTTACTTGAGCGTCTAATCAATAAGACGAATAATCCAAATGAACATTACAGTAGCGTACCGACGAGAAGTGTCGGCATTAAAAAAAATATTTTACAATATTTTCAATTTTTTGCACTTTGGTTTAGTCGGAAATGAGCCTAATAGTTACTGTTTTTATCGAACTCGTATGTATTTATTTTGACACTTTTTTTAAAAATAATGAAATTTTTGAGAATATAGCACATTATTTTATTTTCCTCATTGATAACAATTACTTATTTCTCTATAAACGCTATCATTTTTCGCCTGCGATCAATTGTCGCATGCGACCAGTTGTACTTGCGACGAATTGTATTGCGATTAATTGTGACTGCGACCAGTTGTCGCTGCGACCAATTGACGCTGCGATCAGTTGTTTGCGATCAATTGTCGCGCGACGAATTGTGCACGACGAATTGACGCGGTACCTGCTACGGATGTAGAGATGTGAAATTACAATATACAAGTTGAGTTTACAACAGTAACAAATGTATTTTTGATAGCGTTTGATAGCGAGCGTAATCGAATCCATCGGGCGACTGAACTTTCATGTTTTTTCGAGGTTTCATGACCACTAGAGTACATAAAAATAGATCCCCATGTCCGTCTGTCTGGTTGTTGGCCATCTGTCCGAATTTTTGTGAGACAGATGATCTCCGAAATTCGTTTTTTTACAGATTTAAACATATTGAAAGTTTTTGTGGTTGACATTTTATTTTGTTTTTCTTATTTGCAAACAGTTTCAGAGAGAAATTGTATTTAACGCTTCAAAGAACTTTTATAGTAAATCATTTTACTCCCGCATTTGTGAAGTGGCAATTATTACTATAATAAGACTCTTAAATTATACGTGTTTGCTGAAAAAGATATGAAATAACTGTGTTGCCCTAAAAGTACTTAGTTTTTGTTAAAAATGAGTAAGTAGTCATTATCGAACACACATCCCTATCATTATCGAACACACATCCAGTTTTTGTTAAAAATGAGTAAGTAGTCATTATCGAACACACATCCCTAATGCATCTGCGAGTTCTTGTAGATCTAGCATTTCTTAGGTTATCAGGTGTGTTATTGAAATAAAGGTTGTTAGTTTTAAATTAAGACTATCCTAAATTTTTAGTCACATGCGGTTGTCGGTTATAGTTAATATATTTATAATACATTTGGCTTATAAAAACATATTTGTTATGTTTGTTAACAATGTGAAATTTTCTTATAATGATAATGCTAGGATTTTAGACACTGATGGACATTTTTTATTAGACATTTATTAAACCAACACACTATTCCAAGTGTTACACAAGTAGATTATGTGGATACTACATTATAAGTAGAGAGCGGATTTCTGTCGGGCTAGACAAGGCCAAACTCGGTACGGCTCGTACGGGATGGGAATTCATTGCATTTACCGGCTGCACTTCGTTTATTTGAGATTAGAATAACGCTGCTTCGTTGCACTCTGCTGTTAATTCCAGTTCTCATTTAGTTAGCCGTTTGATTAATAAATCGTTAATTGTATTTATGGAATCAAGTGACAATTAAATTCAGTGATTACCTATCACCTGCTACTGAGTCCCGGCGATGCAGCGCGTCCCCACTAAAATCGTGACGTAGCCCGACAGAAATCCGCTGTCTAATTATAAGACAATATTCTTGCAATAACAACAAAAAAATGGCTGCGCCAGAATACATATAATCGTATATAGTGTTAACATACACACAATAATTAGATATTAATCAGTAAAGAGTAACTTTGGACTTAGAATAAAATATAGTTTTTAAGTACTATGCCCAGGACGTATTTGACTCAACTAATTACAAACTAATAGTGCTTGAAAATATTTGTTATAAGTAATTATTTAAATACTATTATAAAGTTTCTTGTGCTTATAAACAAATAATCGTAGACCTTGTTTATAAAATCACGACATACTCTCTCTTCTTTAAATTGAAAGGCAGATGTTGGTGAATCCTTTGTAAAAGATAGTGACAACAATTACAAATAAAATTAATTGTGAATCCAGTTATCTTCTACAGTTTTGTAATCAGATCTATATATAATTTGTTAATTACACTATATATACATATAATACCTTAATATGAATGAAAATAGATTTATAAAAATAATTTTTACGCATTACAATAATTTGACAACTAAGAAATACTTGGTAGGTACTGAAATAATTCTATGTCAATTAAGTAAATTAAGATATCTACATCTATCGCATATTTAAGTATTTAGTCTAAGCATCATTAATGAAAATTTTCTTTAATGTGCATACTTAAAATTAGGTGGACGGATTGCTGGACGCAAATTAAGAGATTCACTACTCCCTTAATTAAAAAAAAAAAAAAATAAAAAAAAATAAAATAAAAATAAAAACCAAATTAATCTAGTTAACCTATGAAGTAACTTAATATATGTATGTCTAAGAACTAGCATGAAAGTGATGTAAAATGAGACGTTACAATACTTAAAATTTGGAAAAGTAATATTTTTGACAGCCGGTTATGCAAAAACTTTACACTAATATAAATTGGGGCGTCCTGCATTTTTTGCAAAACTTTAGTTTTATAGACGCTGATTTCAATATTTGTGGCCAAATTATAATTTCGCTGAGTATTACTATACACTACATTTTTTATTTTTGGCAATGTTTATTTATAAAGCTACAGCAAAATAATTTTAGAAACCCAAAATTGCAGTGCTTTCAATTCGTTAGTATTTTTTATCACTAATATCACAAATTTTGAAATCATGCAGTAATTAATTTGAAAATAATCTCTGTGTGATTCATAGTGTTGAACTACGTCATCTAATATTATAGCTGCTCTAAGGGCTAAACGTGTCGTTTGCAATCACAAAATATATACAAAACCTAAGCTATAAATACTAGTAAAACCCAGTCTATGTTAAAACGGAATGTAATGTATGGAAAAATAACTATCAACTAATAAACAGTGCAGTGTTACATGCATCGGGTGACACAAAAATCATTTTATAGGCGATATCTTACGAAGATATTAAAATGTGATACAAGCCATGTTCAGTAAGTACTAGGGGCTCGCTAATGGCTGCTTATTTTGTTGCTTACTTGGTTTTTACTAATTCCATTTAATTATATCTGGAACACACTGCCTACAAAATCAAATTTAAAACACCCTTCTCATCTAATTGATTAAAGTTTAAACTACATCTGTGCTAAATGCGGCTAGCAATAGGTACGACTACGAATTATTAAATATTAACTCCTAGTTATTACATAAGGTACATATAATATATCTACGAAATATTAAAGCTTTAACCAAAAAACAAAAATTATAAATGCACCCCTGACTAACTCGAACAAATATTTAGCACAGATTGAAAGTTCTGAAAACGGTATTTGTCAGAAGTTAGTAAAGGGTGACAATTAAAATGTAATTTGTGTGATAAGTATTATACATAATATAAATCAGTGCATTACATAAAGTTGTTTTGGAAGTTTAAATTAATTTATTATAAATATAATATCATTATGAAAATACATTAATTTCAAGTGATGTACGAGACCGCCGAATAAACTGGAGATTACAAACAGTTATACATAAAATTAACTGTACCATAGCAGATCATTTTACACATCACTTACTAAGTTGATGACCGAGCAAGTTGTTAAATAATAAATACATTAGTGCTACACCCTGTTTAGATTCATCCTAGGAATTTTAATTCAAAATATGAATTTTATTTATGTTTTCATCTTATTCGCATTCAATTTTCAGCACACTGTTATCTGTAGGAATAAATATATTCGTGTAGATTTTTTAAAATTAAAAATAATGCACAATATATTTTTACATTTTCTGTTAGGTAATAAAATAACTTAATTTTGAATACATACCTAATTTTTTCATTTTCAGTTACATTTCTTGCAATTTATGTGATGTAAAAATTGATTTTCGCAAATTTTTGTAAAACTACCCCATGTAGGAATCATCTCAAGATGTATGAAATTTTGGATTAATAATAATCTAAGCATTGTTTGACACATACGAATTTAAACAAGAAAATGAGACACTATTCTTGTTAAACTACAATTTTTGAGAGGTTTTTACTAATTTTTTTTAATAAAATACTTTTATAACATGAGTAATAGTTTCTGCCTGTACAAACTGCGATTAAAAATTAGTGGACTTAAAAGCTATAACAGAAAAATCTAACAGGAGAAGCTTCTAGGATTGCACCGCTTCCCGACTAGCTCTTAAAATAGAGGAAAAGACAACGAAAACATATGAGATTATAACAAGCGCTATGTAACAGTTAAAAAGAATTTGGATTGGTTTTATTATTTGGACTGGATGACATTGCTGGATTATCGTAAGCATAATCCAAAGTGCTGTCTTCTGCGGGTCTTCTACTTATGGATGTAGTTACTGTGACAGGGCTGTTTCCAGAATGAGTAGATTCTGTGGGAATTTCTAAACGTAGTTCTGGTTTTTCATTGTTTATTTGATTAGCTGTAGCTGTAGGTTTGCTTTGAACTGTTTCTGATTTCTGAAATAAAAATATGTAGAAAATATGAGCACGTAAATTAATTTGCAGACATACTTTGGAAAATAATTTGTTTTTAATGGTCGCCAATGTGATATTTTTCTTCTTTTTCCATCTGTATAGTTGTATTATCAGTACTGTTGCTAAAGCTATCAGCATAAAACACACTAAAACCAGGGTAACTGTAACCATATGTGAAAGTCGCTGAACAGTTGCTAAAAAATATAGATTTGTGGTATATTCCTAATACAATAAAATTTTAAATACCTCTAAGATTTTCGTCTCCACTTTCCGTTTCATCTTTTAACTTGTAGCGGGCATCGTGGATGTAGTCTGCAAATATATAAATTTACTTCAATTAGTTATCATAGAGTAACAAAATTTTTATTTAGTGTGTACCTAAATATCATTTGCAACATTTAACGTGACTAAAGATCTTACGTGCTGCTGATAATATTCTGGTTAAGATTAAAATTCTGTTCATTTATAGTTATAGTATCAGTTAGATTAAAAAAAGAAACTATTTGTGTGAAATTTCTAATTCGTTATTTTACGTAGTTATAATAACAGGTTATACCTTTACCACTGGTTTTGTAAATGTTACCCATGAGTTTTATAATTCCATTTTTTTTATTGTTAATGTGTATAAAAATTAGTGTATAAAATAACAGATTTATTCCTTGGTGCTGGTGATTAGGACATAGTTATTAACTATAATTGTTCCAAATCAACTTCTTCAATTTGTTAAGTTTTCGAAAAGTAGTTATTATTATTATGTTTATTTGTACATATTCTAAACCTATCTTTACACACGTCACATAAGGATCCGACTGTAGTACCTCTTTTTAAGTAAGAAGGATTTAACTTTGTTTTTAAAAGTGTTTGTTTCTATATTTTAACATGCTTAGGTAACTTGTGGAATTTAAAGTCTCAAGCGGTTGACACTGCACCTACTTTTATTAACACGATGAAAGTTAATATGTAAGTCAGCACATTATCTGAGAGGTAAGTGATGATGATGAGTTTCATCACGCCCTTGGAAGTGTTCCTTATAAGACATATACTTACTTACAAGGGATACTAGAATATAGTAACACGGAAACGTGAGTACAGATAAAATCTGACAACCGTGCCAACAGTCTTCCCTGATTTTAATAATGTTCTGATAGCTCTTCTCAGACCAAAATGCTGTAAGTAATTGAGTGTCAATCAATTTTATTCCAAGAAAATGAACATAATGTGAATTATTAAGATTCGAGACAACGTATTTTAAAGAAAAGCATGCTCTCTTAGTTTTGGCATCATTTAGGATTAGTTTCTGATGAGGAAACCAATATGAAACCGTGTTCTTGTTTTCAGTAACTTCAGCACACAATGCCAGTGAGTCTTCAGAAGATTTTACAAGATTAGTATCATTTGCATCCAGTATGAGTTATCATCTAAGACCGAGACTTGCGGTGCATCTAAGTCTGTTGGCAGGTAACTGTTTTCTCTATCATTTAGATTTATCAACTGCGATCTTCCGGTAAGGAATGCGAGTATCAAATTTATTGAAGCTGCATTAACATAATGTTTCATTAGTTTACTTTTAAGAATGTCACTGGCAAGGCAGTCAAAAGCTTTACAAAGCTCACATTTCAGTACACATAAAAAGCTGTTATTATCAAGAGTGTGACATATCTCCTTAACGAGATCCACAATTATTGCTAACGTTGTAGACTTTGTTTGTTCTAAAACTTACTGAAATGAATGAAAAACCTTGTAGATTTCAAGATAATGACAAAGCTGTGTCTGGAGTCCTTTCTCGAAGATTTTACTAACTGTAGGTATAACTGAGATAGGGCGATAATTGTATATGTTATCATTAACTTTTTGAGTACGGTTATAACTTTTGTCTATTTTAAAATAGGTCGGTAAATTCCTGCCTTGATACACTCGTTAAAAAGATGATTTGATGATTATACAATTTAATTTAGTAGACATTTACGTCTAGTGTTCAGAGAACACGAGTTATAAAATCTTAGGTTTTTGGTTAGATCTGAGACAACGTTTGTAAAATATTCGTTAAATTCATCCGGAGTGAATGGCATATTTGGAGATTTAGTGATTTATTGGACTCTAAACCGTCCGAGGATGATTATTATGATCTGACATGAATTTATTGTAGACTTGTTTTTTTTTTGTATATTTAACAAGTACTTTGCGCTCTTAGTTATTAACCAGATCAACATTTTTAATTAATTTAATATACAGTATGAAAGAAATTTAATTAGCCTCTTTTATGTTTCAGCTCATAATTAAATTAACGTTTATTTAGCAAGACTCTTTCTTTCATTACACGAGGTTGAAAATTTACTTTCATGGCTTTACTTAATAGAAAAATATGTTTTTTAATTTTTGATCAATTAATTCGACATCGTTATATAGGTAAAAAAAAGGGTATCGGATAAATAATGTTTGGTGTTTGGGACGAAGAACTCAATCGCATTTCAAATGTAATACTTACACAAACCTCATTTGACATACAACTGTTAAAACTTTTATGACTTAAGCGGCTTAAGCCAAAGCACCCTTATAAGTCAGACTGGCTATTGTAAGCTTTGTGGACCCGAACCGCAAGATTATTACTGTCCATTGTTGGCATAATGTAGATGTGAACTGAGTTAAGTAATACAATAGCCAGTTTGACTTATAAGGGTGGTTTGGCTTAAGCAGCTTAAGTCATAAAAGTTTTAACAGGTGTATGTCAAATGAGGTTACTTTGAGTGATCTTACATATTGCAATTACATAGCTTAAAAATATTTTTCACCAAAATTTACTAAATAATTATCTAAATAAGAATTTAATGTGTGCACTGAAATATACAGTATGTAAAAAATTTTGATACCTATGTAGGTCCATGAAAGACAATTGGTGTTAAAGTCACCTTTAACGATTATATATTCTGATATGCTATATCACTAAATAGATCAAACAACTGCGGCATGATATTCATAAATGTGTGAAGATCACTGTCTGGGAGCTTGTAAATAACAAGAACAACTAGAAGAGAAGAAGATTCTACTCCACAGATTTCAACAGTTTTTTCAATACTTAAAGAAAAACGATGTCTTTACTATTTACGCATACCTTATGCAGAGCTGTACAAATAAATATTGCAACCCCATCATGTGACTACTTTTTTCTGTAAAAAGAAGAAATTGATAAATACGAACAGTTATCTACAATTACATTTTCAAGTTCATGTGAAGTAAGCCCATGTTTTGAAACAAATTTTATTCCGGAGGCGCTCTATACTAAGATGAAAAATTAAAAAAATTAAGTTCTTTTTTGAACCACATTCAGTTGTGTAAATTTTCCTTTTGTGATCGGAAAAACTTGTCGACGTAGGTATTGGCGGGCCAAAAATCAGGGTTAACGTGTTAACATTGATCCGCATAACGCTGAGGCGCATTAATGGTAAAAACACATATTAATAACTTCTTCTTATTAAGATTTTCAGACTTCTTCAAGAAAGAAAAACATGATTCTTTCTCTTTACTCAACTTTTCATTTTTTCGCCTTTCACTTCTTGAAGATACCCCTTATGAAAGTATACGAAACCTCGAAACCTTTCTTAAATTCGACACGGCCCAAGCCCGGACAACCTCTTTAGTATCAACGGCTTTGGCCGTGAAAACCTCTGAATCCAATAACCGATTTAGATTTATTGTTGCTGCCTGAGCTAAGATTAACAACTTACTTACGACTGGTGAGTGTTTCCTAAAGTTCAGTGGACATTCGTTACATACTCATTTGATTTTGTTACTTCCGAAAAATGTAGCTAAAGATTCATTCACAACACTCTGCAACTCATTATGTTCAGGTAGTTTTTTGCCAGCGGTGGCATTTTTTCCTCCAAGTTGATAACAATAAATGTAGAAAATACCGTTCGTAAAGTACTAGGTACTTAAATTAGATATCAGTTCTAGAATTACCTAAGAAGTCAGTTATTAAAGTGAGAAAGAAATTACAAATTCATAGATACAAATACAGGGAAACTCAATACAACATCATTTTAGTATACCTACATAGTAGTATTTAAAAGTGGTTTAGATATTTTTACATCTGAAGATGGTAAATCAGTGGAAAATTCCACAACACAGTTTCCATTTAATAAAACGCATTTATTTTTAAGTTATGATTTGAATATCAGATACATCGTAATACCGTGTTTTCTAGAATTACAGAAAAACTTATTTGCGGCCAAACTGACTTAAAGAGCTTCTAGCAAAAATATTAGCATCGTAAATAGTGGTTAGTGTTTACATCCAAGCATACACTTAAAGCGTTTATAATTTGCATTGTATAAAATACATTATAATTGGATTCCAATATCGTTAATCATGAATGCCACACAGCACGTATGTATTTATAATCATAGTCAACGATATTTAAGAAACTGATAAACTATTGTAATATTTTTTTGCTTATCTTATCCAGGTTGTGGTAGATCTACTGCACATAACAATGTTTTACGCCTTATTGATACTGAACATGAGTAATGCCAACGTTGTTGCCAAAACATTAAGGTCTGTGAATAACAACATGTAATTAATCTGAAGGATGTTTTATCATTTATCCGCACCGTTTATAATTTGTGTGTACACTTTCGCTGTGAGGACGCTCAGATACCGCATGAGTGTCCAAAGAGTAGGTAAACATGCCTTTTGGCTCAACGACACGTTGAGCTGTACACGGGTAGTGTGCTGCTAATAAATTGTTGGGGGTTGTATTTCTGAATTGCCCAGCTTGACCCGAAATTCCGGGAGCAAAATCAAGTAACGTGGATTTCCTAGAAGACCAGGATCATGATTCTGGGTATTGTGATGTTTTCAAACAATGATTTTAATTTTGTTGTGGTAAATATACTTGATGTGACTAATCATTTAGTGAATGAGAAATAAGGTTTTCATATTTCTTACATCATTATTAATTTTTATTACCAAATATAAATAACATATTTTTTTAAATTTAAAGGGAGTAACAGAATACTTATTAGATTTTGCTATTAAAAGGACGTAAGAATACAAATTTTTAAGAAAATTTTAGTAATCCAAAAAAAGCACAGTCACTAAATAAATGGGCGGCTTTCGAAAATTAAGTAAATTAGTTTTAGGTTTATCATTACTTGAAGTACCTACTATAATAGATATACATCATGTGAAGTATAAAATTCCAGTTATAGAATTCTTGATGCTTTATTATTATTAGAATCGATGTCGTTTATTCCGTTCAGCGGGGTTTTCAGGTCTTTGGATGTTGCTAATTTCTCTTGCAAGTTCCAAACATA